TTATCCTATTATTATATATTTTTTGAAGATACAAAATATTTTAAATTATCATTTAATAATGTTTTGAATAGTCTAAAATTTAAATACATATAGTCATTTTTTATATAATTTATTTTATACCTTAATTAGAACGATATCACTCAAACTATTTTTAATTTAAAATTTGTAGTTTATATGATTTCATGCATTACGTCATGGTATAGTGTTAGGGTTTCTGCTTCTTTACCTATGTTTATAATTTGATCTAAAGAAGAATATTTGACAAAAAAAAAACATTTAAAATTTTATATATAGATATACATAAAAGCTACTTTATAATATAAATTAAATCAAGGTTTAAACCATTGGTCTTCGTTTTTTTTACGGTAATCTCAGTTAGGTCCTCATGTTTTCAAGTGTCTCAATTGGATCATATTTTTTTGTAAAATTGAGCCAATTTTGTCATCACCGTTAAATTGTAACAAACGGCGTTAGTTGGTGCTGACGTGTTGCATAATTAATATGCTGATGTCAAAATATTTTATTACGTGAAATTTTTATTTAATTTAAGAGATTATGAAATGGCAACCCTTGGTCGTTCACTTCTTCGTTTTGATCTTCTATCTGGGGCAAGGAAAGTGCTCGCGATGGCGCAACCAAATGGCATTTGTGGTGGTATTTCCTGTTTGCATCGGTGGAAGGCAATGGCTGGTATTTACGCCTTATCAGAAGCAAGCTCCTCCTCCAAAATGAATCAGGTGAACATCCGAGAAAGCCCCATCTCCCCTCTCTATGTCAGCAAACTTCCATTACCACCAATGCCTCAACCCAGCGCAACGCGGTTCCTCCTCCTCCTGTCCCGCCGCACCCCAACCCGGAACCGTCCTCCTCCTCCCTACCAGCAGCGCCACCACCTCCGAACCATCTTTGATGGCATATTCAAGCCCGTCCGTGACCGCGGCCTGGATCACGCGGTGGAGCGCGAGAAAAGCCTCAAACCCTTGATCTCCCTCAAAACCCTCATCAAACGAGAACCCTCCAAATCCCTCCCTCTTTCACTCATCAAAAGCACCCTCCACTTACCCTTCCGCCCCATCGAATTCATCCGCAAGTACCCCTCCGTCTTTGAAGAGTTCCTCCCCACTCCCACCATCCTTCAACCCCACATCCGCCTCACACCGGAAATCCTACACCTCGACGCCGAGGAGCAACTTGTATACCAATCACACCAGTTCAAACACCAATCATCTGACAGGCTCTTGAAACTCTTGATGATTGCAAGAATCCACAAAATCCCACTACCACTCATTGAGCACTTGCGGTGGGACCTTGGCCTACCGGATGACTACACCGAGACGGTTGTACCCGAGTTTCCGGACTACTTTCGAGTTGCAGGCGGGTTCCTTGAACTCGTCTGCTGGAGCCACGAGCTGGCGGTTTCGGTTATCCAGAACCGAAACAAGAAAGATGAATTTGATGGTCAATTGGTGTTTCCTGTGCAGTTTTCTACTGGTTTTGAGATGGATAAGAAGTATGACGGCGAGGATGATGAGGGCAGTGGCGAGGGTTCGAAGGATTTTTCAAATTGGGTCTATGTGATTTTTCTGAGTGCAGGCTATTTTCCCCCTTTTTTTCTGCTTGCATAATTTTTCTATTTTTTTTTAATTTATTAATTTCCATGTCATCAGTGGCAACATATTTTTTTTAATAAAATATCCACCTCAATATATCCACCTCAACACATTTTAACACCGTTTGTGACAACTTAACGGTTATGACAATTTTACAAATATTTGGACTCAATTAAGATATTTTGTAAATATATAAACCTAATTGAGATATTTAAAAATATAATGACCCATTTAAGATTTCCATATAAATACGAGCATCATCCTAGAGTTTGAACCTTAAATCAAAGTAACACTTTGTATAAGTAGTCTTGTCTCCATCATACACTTTAGGAAAAATGTACCTTAATTGCACACGGTTCCACCAACTTCATGCTTAAACGAAAATAATAATAATATTTTAATTATAATAATCATTATGTTTAAATAAAAATTTTATTTTTATTTTTATCTTTCTTTGTCTCGAGTGTTCAATATATATGTTATATATCAGTTGATAGTTTTTTAATTTTTCAATTTAAAAAAATTGTTTGAGAGTTAAATTAGTATTATGTGACAGTTTTAGTACTATGGTTAAATTAGTATTAGTATCGTGTTAAATTAATCAATATCAATATCACGTGTTAAATCATTGTCACAATACTTTATATTTATTTTAATCTCAATTTGTTAATTTTATTCAATTTAATTTTAAATTTCGTTAATTTTGTTTAATTCAATTACAATTTTGTCCATCTTTAAATAAATTTAATTTTCATATAATTATTATACTGAAATTTTTATTAAATATTTCTTCATTATTTTTAAACAAACTTTAACTATATTATTAAAAGAAAATTATTAGATTTTTGTTTAATTTTTTTTACATGTAAAAAATAGGGTTAGAATTAGTTTAAAAAAACATACATAAATCTAATAATTTCTTTTTAATAATAAGGTTAAAGTTGGTTTAAAAGTAATGAAAGAAATATTTAATAAAAATGTGAATTTTAATAAAACTTTCGATATAACATTTGTATAAAAAATAAATTTGACCTTAACAACAAAATTAAAATTAAATTGAACAGAACTAACGAAAATGGAAACTAAATTGAAAAAAATTAATGAAAATTGAAACTGAATTGAATACAAGACACTTGACACACTTATAAAAAAAATTAACTAAACATGTAGACAATATTCTTTTAAATTAGAAAAAAAAACAAAAAAAATTAACTTACATGTGATGTATATTTTTCACCTTCTATTTAAACATTACTACAAAAAGAACCAAATTAATAAAAATTAAAACCTTATTAAACACCTGAAAAGCAATCAAATTAAACAAAATAAATCAAAATTGTATTTAAGACTAATAATAAATTAGTTGTAGTATAACATACATTGTTGAAGCCACTTTCGCACCACATGTCGTACAAAATTAAAGTAAATACGATTATATGTAAAAAAACTCATTTACTTTATAGTGATTTAATTATTGATTTATGTTAAACTTTTAGAAAACAAAATCTGATTGTAATTTTTTAATTCAAGAAAATTTACTGTAATTTCTCAAATTAAAAAAAAAAGAATAAGTTTAAATATAAGAGACTAAAGTAATTTTTTTAAAATTATTTTCAGTCTCTCAAGTCATTGGGACTACAATTATATATTTCTAAATTGAAGGAAGTAAAATGTTTGCTTTTAATCCATGAGGCCAGATTCAAATTTACTTCAAAATTTCAATATTAAAAAAATATAACTTTTTTTAAATTAAAAATCAATTTCTACATATTTTTCATGAAAATATGCAAAATTTTATTATGTCGATTATAGTTTAAGATATCCATTAGTTAGGGCTATATATAATTTTTTTTATATAGAAAAACAGTCTAAAAAGTTTGATATTTCTCTTTATATTTGCATGTAATCATTATCCACATTGGAGTCAAAGTGCATATGTTTTTAGGTTTTAAAAAGAGCAAGTGATTAAAATTTTCCTTGTTTTAATAATTAGTTGTGCACAAATTAGTTATATTTTGAAAATATAACTAAAATTATTAGATGAAAATAACCTATCGACATACATAGATTAGATGGTAATCATTTTTATCTGCACTTCAAGCTATCTTTTATAATACTATTATTTTCATTTTTAAGTTTAATAAAAAAATTGTACACACAATACTTAATTAATTAATTAATTAACAGCCAATATATTTAATTTATATTATTTATCATTTGTGTCACACTTTGTTATGAAATAGATATAGGTTATCAGTTCAATTCTTCCATTAATACATACTAACAATTCATCGATAAAAGAAACATAATCTAATAATACAATAAAAGATAAATAACATTTAAGAATTTTCGAATAATATGCATATAATAAAAATTATAACCAAGTATATAAGTGACACTCTTTCAAATGTTTTTTTCGTAATATTTATATATTAACAGACAATTTTTGTTACATATTTAAATTATTTTGATAAGGATAAATTTAACAAATACTCTTTCAATTACGATATATATTATTATAGTTTTAGTTTTCGTATAATTAACCAATTTAGGTGCAAAGTTGATGTGACATAATTTCAGATAACTATGGTATACACCTTAAAAGAAAAAGTGTAATGAAGTAATTTTTTGTTTGTAAAGTTGTTAAAATAATTTCAGTCAAGTTGACTGTTTTTTTTTTAAAACAAAATTATCCAAACTATATTAAGTCGCTTTTTATTCAACCAATTTAACCTACATTTTAAATGGACATAGAATGGACTAACTCATAAATTTATAAGTTTGTGTAATTTATAAAGTAATAATTATATTTTAAAAAAAGTAAAATAATAATATTTTTCTAAAACACACATACGCATAGATAAATAGATATATATTATAATTTATATTTATTTGTATATGAAATTATTATATCTAAAATTAAATTCAATAATTTTCTTTATTTTAAAATGCCTCCTTGTTTTTGTTTTATATTTAAAGCAATTTTTTATCTTTGAAAACAGAACAAACACTTACAACTGTTCAATACAACCTTATAAAGTGACATATTAGGTGAGATTGGACCCAACCGACTCAAACTATTCATCAGATCTACTTATTTATAATAACTTACAAAACCAAATTACTAAATTTAAAAAAGGCATATTAAAATACTGAAATTGCATATTTTTTACAACAAGGATGGAACTGTAACTAAATAAACATCTAAAAATAAACTAATTTGATGCAAAGGATCACACATCCTGTTCAATAATTAATTTTTACTGAAAATATGATTCCCCTTAGTGAAACTTTTCCTCCCACGAATAATTTTTTTTTTGTCTAGAAGTAAAATTTATTAAGAAATAAAAATACAGATTATAATTATAATGAGAAAATAAATGAATGAACTCATTAAAGTGTGTAGAAAATGCAAAAGGAAAAAGAAAAAAAAAAGATGTTATGTGAGTTAGTCAGAGTTTGAGAGACAGCTTGCATGTCTCACTTCACTCCAAACAACATCGTAGAAACAAACAAAGTAACCTTTTTCAATTTTGTGTTTCCATTTCCATGGTCTTGTCATTCCTCCATTCTCTGTATTTTCATTATTTATTTTGCAATGTTATTTTGTCTATAAAAGGGTGGTGCAAGAATAGCATATAAACATGGCACAACGTGTTTGTTTGCAATGAGCATTGTAAGGAAGAGAGAGCACAGCATAGCAATACACATAGGCACCCTCTTCCCACATTCTTCGCTCTCTCTTTCATTCTCTCTCTTACGTTGCCACCCTCCATTGTGCCACCTCCTTTCTGGGTGGATCCCTTCCTTCTTTTCTCTCCACATTCATCTTCTCTCTCTACCCTTTTGTTTGTTGCTGTTGTTGTTCAATCTCTCATCTCTCTCTGTCTCTGCCGGACACCTCCTTCAGCCTTTCCTCTTCCTTCATCCCACTTCACATATTCAGGTACTCTGATGCTTCTTCATAATCATCAATGACGATGACAATGACAAAGACATTGGTGTTGATGATGTTGTTGTTATATGGTGTTGGCCTACGATATATGTATATATGTATATACATAAAAATATGTTGTCATTGTCTTTTTCAATATTCAAACATGCATAAAGATGTGACAATGTTTTATGATTGAATATGTGCCATGTTGGTTGCATGTTTTCTGGTTTGATCACAACCATGGCATTGGTTTTTTCTACGTTGGGGAGGTGAGAGTGAGGAAAATGGCATCAAAGCATTCATAAGGGAAGGAGGATTAAGAGACAATTTGTTCATTTTTTGTTGTTGGTTTGTTATAAATTGGTACCAACAATGACAATGTCCCTCAACTCCTTTTCTGAATGTTAGACAAGACAATGTTTGATTTTTATTTTTTTTTTTAAACTGTCACTGTTGAAGATTTGATTCTTTGTTCTATATGTCATTTTTTGGATTCTATAGAAACCTATCTGATGAAGCAACGGATAAGTCTTTTGCGTATCAATTTTTATGGAATTATTGGATTTGGTTTTTGCTGGACAAGACACTGAGACAGAAAATATAATTAAAGCTTATATAGGCCAGTAATTTTATCTGGCGATTATTGGAATTTATTCACTTTTCTTTCTGCTCTGAAGATTTCGAAGTCCAAATAAAAATTATTGGAATTTATGCCCATTCATGCATTTCTTTTCCTTCCTCCTTTTACAAAGGATCATGAATGCCAAGAGTCCATGAAGCTTTTCAAAAACCTTAGTAGGCGAAGATTGAAAGATCTTAATGTCTGCTACATGTAATAAAATTCTAATCATGGCTCCAAGCTTTGTTCTTTTTTCCTAATTATTTTTCTAAACTTGGTTGTACCCTTAAATTTTGTTTATTTGAGTTATATTTATAGCAATTTATTACATGAGAAAAGCCTTACCGTGCATATTACTTGATTTGGATATTATTGTGAAAGTTTCTCTTGAGGTGGATCAACTTCAGAGGTGAAGATATAGAACATATTTTTCTGTGAGTTAGTCTAATGGTTAAGACTTAAAACTTGACTCGCAGAAATCCAAATATGCAGGGAAGATGATGGTTGGAGGTTCGGTCGAGTTAGAAAGCATGTTTTCTTTAAGATCTCCTAAAGCAGATTTGGAAAAGGACTTTGGTAAAGCAGAAAGCACAAAGAGTAGAGACAGTAGTGGTAAGTGGTTGGAGAAAAACACATACATGCCATTGCGGGGGACACATAGTATATGGGATCAAGCTGCGCTGAGGTTGCAGAAAGTTTACAAAAGTTTTAGGACAAGGAGGCAACTTGCAGATTGTGCAGTTCTTGCAGAGCAGAGATGGTTAGTTTCAACACATGTACCTGGGTAAACACAATTGGAATTTACATAAAACATTGTCCATTTTATTTGTTACTTCGTATGTCAATTCATTTTTTACAGTGTCAACCAACCATACATCAGGGTAGGTATAATTTTTCAGACAACTATTATAAATGTCAACAAATTTACTATATAATCTGTGTTTGGATGACAAATAAAAATAATGTACATTGTCAATGTATATACTATTTACTCATCTTTTGTATGAGAGTGAACACTTTTAGATTTAGGAGTCTTGAGCAATCTCATAGAGTGCGGTCAAATTTAGTTGAAAGATGAGGGAATTGAAAAAGTTTCCATTACCCATGTGCTTGTGCTCTCTATGAAAGACAAAGATGTCCATGATATTGGTTGTTACTGAACTAAATTTGTATGTATAGGTGGAAGGCTTTGGATTTTGCCGAACTTAAGCGCAGTTCAATATCCTTTTTTGACATTGAGAAACCGGAGACCGCCATGTCACGGTGGTCTAGGGCGAGGAAGAGAGCTGCCAAGGTAGGCTCTGACATGACTTGTATCATAATATGTTGAGTTGTTGATGTTGTAGATTGAAAGACTAGTAAGATGTTTTCACTTTGTGTTTAATAATAGGTTGGAAAGGGTCTGTCTAAGGATGTGAAGGCTCGGAAACTTGCTTTGCAGCACTGGCTAGAGGCAGTAAGTCTCATAGCTAAAGTGACATTGTTCAAATTAAACTGATAATTTCTCTAACTGGTTGCCAACTTGAACAGATTGACCCTCGACATCGCTATGGTCACAATCTTCAATTTTATTATGTGAAATGGCTTCGCTGTGATAGCTATGAACCTTTCTTCTATTGGTAAGATTGTAACAAGAATGAAAATCCAATTTCTGTTTAACATGTAACTTTCAATCAAACTAACGGATAAATCAACCTACAAGTGTAGGCTTGATGTTGGGGAAGGCAAGGAAGTACTTTCTGAGAGATGTTCCAGATTAAAACTTCAGCAGCAGTGCATCAAATATCTTGGTCCAGTGAGTTTGTTGTTCCCTTTGATTTCCCTTTTCATCTTCTTTTTCAACCATAGGAATCAATGTCATGTTAAAATATGTCATGAACAAGCCATGATATTTTACTTTAGAGAAAAACTCAAAGCTGTTTATGTACCTTAACTGTCAAGCAACATGTAAAAGTAATTTTAAAAGCTGTTTCTTTTGCAGGTGGAGAGAATGGATTATGAAGTAGTTATTGAGGATGGAAGGCTCATGTATAAGAAAAGTGGGAAACCTGTTGACACAACAGGAAAAGCAAAGTGGATTTTTGTACTTAGTACATCCAAGACTCTTTATGTAGGGCAGAAGATCAAGGGCACATTTCAACATTCAAGCTTCCTAGCAGGGGGAGCCACATTGTCTGCTGGTAGACTAGTGGCAGAAGATGGTGTTCTTAAGGTATGAAGAAGGACAGAAACCTGATAATGGATATAGAATATTGTTTTCCTTTTCTTTCTATATGCTGTTGTATTGCATACTGACAATAGACTTTTTAAACTCCAAAGGCGGTTTGGCCTCACAGTGGGCATTATCTCCCAACAGAAGAAAATTTTGAGGAACTCATTTCATTCCTTGTGGAGAATAATGTGGATCTTACAGATGTAAAGGTAAAATGACTAAAGGGTAACTTTTCTTCAGGATTTGCATTACTGAAGAAAATTAAACTCCTAGATTAACAGAACTACATATTCACTATTATCTCTTTATAGTTAACTTGGGATAGAATTATAGCTAGATTTTAACTTTGACCATGCACAAAAAATTAGCTAATTGCAATTTTCATTCCATCAGATGAATGAAAATTCTTGTGAAATGCTGATTGCCATTTTCTTATATCCAGAAAAGTCCAGATGACGAAGAAGAAAACATAGCTGGAAGCAACCAAGATATCTTCCAACAAAATATTTTAGAGGCCATGAAACCTCCAAACATTGAAACAGAAAGCACCAACACATCACCTGAAAAGCTCCCTGACTTGAGAAATGAGGATTCTAATGCTGATTCAACCTCTCAACCACCCTTGTCAAAATTGTCTCTAAGACTGGGATCAAAAATAGCAAGAATTGAGATACCAAAAAGAGTTATAGTGCCTGAATTTTTTGGAGAGCAAGAAACCGGTCCTCGTACCCAATTTTATTCTCCTTATGCGTCATCAGACAGTGGTTATGAGACAGCAGAAGAATCATTCATAAAGGAGGAGGAATTCATGGTTTCAAAATCAAACATGTTTGCTGAACATCAAAATGAAGATGGGAATACTATTCCAAAGGAGCAAATCTTGAAGAGGATAGATTCACACAAGGGAAGGAAATCATATCAATTGGCTAATCACTTGTCTACTAAATGGACAACAGGTGCAGGCCCTCGAATTGGTTGCATGAGAGACTACCCACTAGAGCTTCAGAATTTGATTTTGGAGCAGCAAAATTTGTCTCCAAGGATAAGAACAACGAATCCATCTCCCCGGCTACCACCTTTATCCCGCTTCAGCCCTCATATTGCTTTTCCACCTTCTTTGCCTGATGCTCCAAGTGCCTTAAGCAGCTAGTGTATCAGCTGACAACACATAGGATGAAGTGGCAATTAAGGGATGCCACTTCTGCTGAGAAAATGACATAGGAGTTCTTTTTGCAATGCTTTTAGTGCCATTCTTCTAAGCCATATAGTTTTTTGTAGGTCGTGTGATGGAAGAGGAACAAAATAACTTTGTATCTTCTGATTCCCAATGAGGATAGAATCTGATCGGCTTCTTTCATCCAATCTAGATTGAGATAATAGCAACTTGCAAATCATTAATAACATGTATAGTTACGCAGAAAATTTCTCAAATCCCCACCTTTGTTATCCTTCAAAACATGTACTCTGTTTATCTTATATACTATAGACAAGATGAAATAGGTAGTCAGAATATATTAATTGTTACCAACACCAAAATTGTTGCGTAGTGGTTTCCATCCTTAATATAAGATATAAATAAACACCCTGATCGGGTTGAGATTTGAGGTATGTACAATGTGCTATATTTTGAAGTTCAACTATGAGTGATAGAGGTGCACTTAACAACACATTATGAAGTACTTTGATAATTATATGAGTGAAAATTAAAATAAGAGCCGGTGATGAATGCATTTCGTGTTGCTGATGGAGTTTAAAATTGCAACAGCTCACAACTTCCATGGCTGATATCAGTCATATCACACATTTGCACTTTTTTTCAATAATGTTGTCTACTATGGCTTCTATTATAAAGAACAGTTCCAAACAAAAGAAAAACATTAATTTCAAGCAGTTCTTCAGAAAATAAAACACAGTCCTGCTTTCAGTTATTACTGTGTAGAAAATGTTGATTACGAACATAAAGAGATTAGGTTGCATAAGCATATTTTACTTTTTCTCGTGATTCTTACGATTTGAGTACCTTTATCTATCATTAAAAATGTGTAATCGTCTCAGCCGTTTTCTCACTATTCTACAGTGTTTATATTTTTAATGCATATAAGTATCATTTCGAATTTGTAGTAAAATCCAAACAAAAGAAGATGAGAATAAATAGTTTACACACTCATAATATAAAGAACTTTACACAAACCATTAGGAATGTTAAATTTGTTGACATCTTGATACGTCTTGAACATCTTGGTACATCTTGAATAACTCTTATCACACACATCTTGGTAGATCTTCAATAACTCTTATACAAACAAACATTTGATCAACGCCTGATTTTGGATTAGGATAATTGGATTGTTTATGAAATTAGTAATATGAAAATTGACAAAATTGAAAATACAGAAGAGGTAAAAGATGAAACAGAAGGCCAAAATAAGATTAATTGATAAGTTGAGAAAAAACTGTCACCCTAAATCAATAACTTAAAGAACAGAATAAAAAAAAAATCACAAAAATCTAATGAGAATTTCTCTCCACATGCAAAAAGCTTCTTAAATAAATGAGTCAACTAATTATAAAAATCAACAAATGCCTGTTTATATTATTAATCTAAGATTAATAGGTTTTCCCAATTAATTAATCTGATTCAACAAGTTATCTAATTAGCCAAATAGCAAATAATGCCAAAAAAAGTTCTTAATTACAAAAAGATAGAAAGAAATACAAAAAGTTCAACACAGCATTATACAATTTCTATTATACAATATTGCCTTAATCCTCTTTCTTCACCCTACATTGTATGTCTCCCAATCACTCATCAACATCCATATTAAATATACGTTTAGAGTTTTATCTTTTGTATTTACATGCGTATTAAATGTGTTATGTAATACCATGATTATTGTTTCTCTATATATCACTATATATGGAGGTATCACCAAAGATCAAACCTTATGTATTGTTTTAACTTTTCTGTAATCAAAATTAGAGTTGTACAACTGTTATAAGGAAAATTATGCACCTTGGTCACCAGACCCAATGCCCAAAAATGAAATCCAAAAGTTGAGTGATGCCACATAAACATATTTTGTTTTGACACTTTACATCTCTATGCTTGTAAAATAAACTACACATGTTTTAGCTAAAACTGATCACCAAAAAATAGTAGAGGTACAAAAACAATACAAAACATTTTCTGTGTAATATTATGAAATATGTTAATGGCATTACATCAAAGTAAAAGCAAATAATATCAAACATTTACATACAAACATACTAAAAAAACCAAATAGCTAGTTTATTAACTGATAGTTGATACAACAAAGAAGATTTCTCCAACTATGCAGGTGTGCACCTTTTGTCAAGGAAAAACATAGCGATGTTTCCTATATGAAAGGAAATATTGCATACTCAGCATAGAACAGATTCCATATGAATCGATAGAATCCTGATATTGCATCCTGCATCATACAGACAGACATTTTAAAAGCAGCTTAAACACTCGTGGAAGAGATAAGAAATAAAAAATGCTTCACTTAGGCCAGTAGAGACGGTGTACAAAAAGCTATTTACTCAATATTTTGGAAACTGTTTTTTATTGCAGTCCTATTATAAAATCATTGATGTGGGAATCTACATATTTTTAAAAGAATAATTTGGTCACTGCATTTTTGCCACCTATAGTAATAGAGTATTGAACTATTCATACTGCATTAATAAAAAATCTTGGTCTCTATTAAGTGAACTTTAAGCCTAACTCAACCTCACAAAATCGGCTTGTAAAGTGAGGTTTGCACCCACTTATATACTCTAAATTTATATACTCCAAATTGGCCTTACCTCTAGTCAATGTGAGACTTTCAACATATCCCCTCACGCCGAGGTATATGATAGGCTCTAACCATAGCTCTAATACTATGTTAAGAAGTGGATTTTAAGTCTAACTCAACTCCACAAAACTGGCTTGTAAGGTGAGGTTTGCACACACTTATATACTCTAAATTGGTCTTACCTCTAGTTGATATGAGACTTCCAACTGTCTCTATATGGACCCCAACAGGACAAAGTGGAATTACCAGAACAAGGAAAGCAAGTTCTTTAAAAAGCCAATTGGCATTGCTATGTTATCCTGACCTAATAACACTAAACTACAGGAATGTTGTATCAGTCAATCTATTATTTAGTGCCACGGTATGAGTATTTAACCAATAAAAAAGTAATGATATTAACTAATGTGCCATAAGAAGGTTTGTTGATAAGTAGTTGAAGTGATTCACGTCATCCAAAGTCGTTTTGCTACAAGAGACAAAAATAGAGGTCCAATATCTGAGCATTAAAAGCAATTAATAAGTTGCTACAATCATTTTCTTATAGAAATATTACCTTGGTATAATTTGCTTGTTCTAGTACCCGTGCCTGAAATACAAGAAAACAAGTCATGTCTATCTTACAATTTCACAACCACTCGTGCATTATGAAAAAAAGAAAGAAACAGAAAAATGAGAAGCACCAGACAAGTCTATCCTGCATAGCACTAAGGTCTCAATAAGCATATGGTGCGTTAGGTAGACAAAATCTCAACAACACTAGAGGAGGGAAATGCTTTGCTTTGTAATATCAACAAGCATATATTGTCAATACACTCCAATCAGCATAACATGTCCCCCACAATCTTAAGAATCTTAGATACGGGTAAAATACTACAGTTTATGGTGCCATGGATATCTCAAAGCACTCACAGTCTTGATCACAATAGGTTATATCTTATGCCATCTAATATTAAGATGAAAACGGGTAAAGCTATACTGTTAGATGAGAGGGGTAAGAGTTCTGGGGATCTATTTTGGTTTCCTTTCATGTGGACAATTTGGTTTTTGAACTTAAAATCAGAAAGTAGGCACTGGGCAGTCCACTAATATCACAGACTGCATACTAGCACCAACTGTCAGAGGAAAGGTGGAAAACTTCTGTGAAGTTAATACTGAATGATTCAACAACCTTGTGAAGAACAAGTTAAGTCTTGATGGAACTCTACTATGTTTATTTCATTGGTTTTGGAAGTAGAAATATGTATTGCTAGATGTTATGTTAATAGGGAAACATTGTACTTAGAGATATTACGAGATATAATAAGCTAATGTAATTAGGGCAACAGTTGTTCATCCTATTTATGTCTCTTCATATGAATAAGACCATTGGCTGTGTAATTTCACACATGGAATCGTTACATGTCTCTTTTTCTTTTCCTCTTTCAACGAGTGTAAAGCCTTGAGCAAATGGGTTCTTTAATGTTGGATTATGATGCATTTGGCTTGAATATCTTGTTAGAATCTCTATCTACATAGGAGAAGCTTGTTTTATTAGCCCCTGCATGTTTCAGGTCACGAGTTTTAATTTAATAGAGCTAATGCTTCTTCCTCTATGTTCTGGTGTCTCTTCTGTTTTCCTCTCTTTTTCTATCAGTTTATTCCTCCCACTTCCCCACCCTCAAACATTCCGAGAAAAAAAAAATCTCAGTCACTGGAAAAGTCTTATAATTGAGGACTGATATAGTACTACTATTCATATTGTTCAGGAACACATGTATCCAAGTTAAACTAAAAAAAAATCTAGAGAAAATCGACAGCTGTAAACAAATATAACAAAAATAATTAACAAAATACAATTCAGAGTAAATTGGACTAAATAAAACGTTTATGAAAATCCACTAAACTAGAATGATAACATTTGTAACAGTTATTAATCCAATTAACAAACCTGGTAAATCAAGCTTATTGCAAAAGTCATATGAGCTGGTATGAGCAACCAACTCCTGAAATCCTGTTAACAGTTCGGAAAGCACATTAGGTTTTGTTTTCATGAATGAATGTAGAATTTCATGCTAGGCACATGATGCAAGTTGATATTCACCTGGGGCATGTAAACTGCTGCCAATACTGAAACAATATAGTTCATCAGCAAAATTCCAGAACCTAGGAAAGCAATGTTCCGAACTCCTAATTTTGTAGCAAAGGTTGATATTTGATACCTGAAGTTAGTTAAGACATGCAGCACCATATTAAAGCGTGAAAGCAGATTATGCTTTATACAGAGCATATGCACACACACATATATATTATACACATATTTATTGGAATAGAGGTGAACAGAAAAATTAACAGCTCAGGAAAATAAGATCAATGAACCTCAATTGGGTACCAAAACTTACTTGCGATCTCCTTCAACATCAGGAAGATCTTTTGTTATAGCAATTACCAATGCGAAAAATGTTACAAAGGTTGTGATGAAAACCACAGGAGAGCTGCAGCCAGAGATACAAGAAATATATAATAAGCTCACAAAAGATAAGTTGCACACTTAAAAAAAATGTGGTGAAAAGCTAACACCATAAGCTTTCATTGATGTTAGCTAAGCACAATTTATATTGGAGATGTGGAATTCGTCCTTCTAACATTATGACTGTTATAAGTTAGAGGTGCCCTCAATTTAGCAACTCCACCTTAGATATTTTATTCTTTTTTTTCAATTATTTTCTTGGATAAAACATCAAAAAAATCATAATCAGTATACTCTTCAGTGATCCTCTATTAAACATCATAAACCATGAGCTCAGTTGTTCAACTTAACCAATTACAGATACAAAGCAATAAATGATAAGCCATAACCCACCTCCATTCAAATGCAAGTCCAAGGGCAGCTCTGGTGGCATAGTAGACACCGAAGTTAAGGAGAAACCCTCGTACCTGCATAAGACTCTTCTGTCAATCTTGTTCAAATATATTCCCAACTACTTAAAATTCAACTGCCAACTTAATTTCCCAAAATAAAAAACAAACAAATTGATAAAATTGTCGGTGTTACTGAAAAGTTTGGGACTTATCATACCGTAGCAATTATAAGAAATGCAGCAACAGGAAAGCGTTTCATTCTAAATGGAGGAACGGAATAGATGGTACCCAAGAAAAGGCCAAGTGTGTAAAGAGATAAAATGAAGGGCCCAAAGTTGAACCCCACAATCAACAGCCCAGCTACTGCAAAAAATATAACCAAGAACCATGCAGATTGGACAGAAAGATCTCCGGCAGCTATAGGTAAATAAGGTTTGTTTACCCTGAAAAAGAATATAAAACCAACTTAGGCTAATATTACTATCAGGATTTATTTCATAGGCATGTAACTACAACTGGAAAATTTTGGAACCAGAACAGAAGAATCTTAAAATGAAATTCCTGTGCAGTTAAACATGTTCAAGAAAAAAATATTGAAACTTCGTAAGAAATGTGAAATGGGAATCATGGAGAGGAAAAAAACAAGTGGAAGACAACATGTAATAAGACAGTTGCTTATATTTCTGCACCATACTTGTCAATGCTAATGTCATAGATTTGATTGATGCCAACTATATAACCATTTCCGCAAATCAGGGCAAAAAGACCAGAGAAAGCTTTGAACAAAAGAGACCACTTTATCAAATTTGTGTGCTCAATCAATGCTCTTGCCACCAAAGCACTGTAAAAACAAAGAGAAAATAAAGCTCAGACAAAGTATACTTGGCATGAAGCTGCATGAAACAGTTGCTAGCTAGTTATAAAGTTACTCACAATGAGCCTAGTGCTGTACCACGTATAGTATGTGGCCTTAAAAATCTCCAGCAAGCATCTTTCAAATCTAAAAGTCTTTCAACTAATGGACGATCAGATCCAGCAGCTCCAACTCCAGTGCAAGCCTGCCAGCATTATTTTCATTTAAACTTGTAAAGAAGACTCAAATATCATCCAAGATCAAAAAGTAGGTCAAAAATGTCCTTTAAACCAAAATAAAGTCGGTTATAGTAAAGTTAAAGAGACTAAGTAAACACTAAATGCTTACAATTGCAGTTAAATTGTAATCTTCTGAGCCCAATTTTCCAAGTTTCGTTGATACAATGTGCATTAAATAATCAGAAAAAAAAATCATATCTACTGACTTCTACTTAACACTGTGACAACCACAATCCACTAACACTCTTACTGTATATAAAACATGTCACTTCATATTTCTTACTTCTCTATTTGCAGCTCAACTCACTACAATCATCAGCATCGCTGCATGTTATTGTTGGCACCTTTTATTTCAATTGTTCTATTACCACATTGAATTGTTTTGATCGTTTTTCCATGCCAATGCCATGATAGTTTGTCAAGATACCATAGTTTTTCTATACTATTATTGCAATATTGATCCTATTAATCACCAAACAAAAAGCCTTACCCGTTGACTTGCCTTTGTAGAAGTGATCTGGCCTCTATCTTACTCCAACCACATTCCATTGGTATCGTCGTCATTTTTTGTTTTTTTTTGTTTTCTCTGTAGACTCAACTAAATCACTACATAATCTAACCATCTCAAACATGATTTGTACACGTCTACTGTAATATTTTTACTTCTGTTAAATACTAAATCTTCACCCCAAGGTCAATGAATTCACTTAGGAAACTTTACAATCTCTCTAGCACATGTGGTTGAAACTATCCTTCCAAACCTACTTATATTAAATGAAAATAACAAGTTTATATAGCAGCTGCATATTCTCTAAATCATAAATATATATAATGAATAAAACTAAAATTATATATATGTGTGTGTATGTACACACACATACATACATATTAAAAGACAGAAAGGAAGATAGAAAAGGTAATTGGGTCAGTATAACAGAACCAATCACAGTCTCCAGTTTCTGAACAACCAGTTCTTGAACGAAGTCATGAACACCAGAGGAGTGGAACATTCAAAAGAAATGACATTCCAGACAATCATATTTACAGATTGAGAAATTTCCCACTATTCCAAGCACAGAAGGAATCACAGTTTGAAAACATTCAACAAAACCCATCAATTTTATTCTTTTCTTTTTCTCGGGAAAGCACAAGTAAATGAATCAAAATTGGAACTTTAAGGGAAAGCAAACATACCCTTATGGAACTGGGTCTCTGCGGTCTCTTGGAAACCGGAATTGAGCAGCATCTGTGTTGATGATGTTGCAACCCAATTGAGTGGAAGTGACTGGAAAATCTAAGTGTGGCCTTAGTGCACAGTCTAGCTGAATTCAAATAGGGAATTGTGGAAGGAACCCGATGTGGAGTTGGAGAGAGTGAGAGCTCCATGCGAAGCTGAACACAGCTAGCTAACAAAAAAAAACACTCCAAATCTCAGACACAAGGCAAAAGAATTGTCTGGAAACTCCTTCCTGAAAAACAGTCACAGTTGCATAGTGTTGTAGGATACGTTGAAGTTCAAGGTGAATGCCTCAAAAGCACGTTAAGAACATGATTTTTGGAAGAACAACATAGTTTCTGATGCAAATTGCTTAACATTCATTGGCATTGATTTTGGCAGACCTATCCGTCCTCAAACAAGCTAGCATTCTTCTATGGCCACCACCACTTAACTTAGATTATGTTTTCCTTTGTTTTTTTTTTTAAATAATAACAACAATAATAATATTTAGTTTACTATTTTATATAAAAAAGTTCTCAAAATTTATCTTTTTTTTTTCGACATTCACATTATGTATTGATGAACACATAAATATTTAAAACCATAAAACATCAAAGGCCAAAAAAAAATGCAACAGAAAACATTGGTTTTTTATATTTTTTTAACATATCAGCGTATTATTACATATTAACGGTGATAAGATGCGTAAAATTAAAAGAAAATTATTATAAAACCAATTTTTCCTTTATTATTTCTTTTGTAAAAGTATAATATAATTTTTTTATATTTAAATAAATAAAATTTAAATACATGTATTTAACTATTATAATTATATATAATGTATAAATGTGATATCGAAATGAAAAGTTTAATAATTTTAAAAAAAGGTTAAATAATTATATTATTATATCATTACATATACTAAAACATAATTATATGTTTATTTTTAAATATTAAAATGTATAATAATAATTAAATTGGTGTATGATGATGGGTTTAAGGAATTATTTTAGGTAATAGTTAGATATAATTGAAATGAATATTTGTTATGATCAGAAATTTGATATATAAGAGGAACTAATGAATTATTACAAATTTGATAAATATGAACCTGTAAATTTTGTGTTAGAAAAGACTAATTATATATAATTATAATTGTTAGAAATAATAAAAAATGAATTTATTTTTTAATGCACTGGTCAACACTTTTTTCGTTTGACATTTCATATTTTTAAATATATAATTTAAAATGTATCTGTAAATAGTTGAATATACAATAATAATGAAATAAGTGTATGATTAAGAATGTACACGATTATTTATAGAAATATATAATTTAATTAAATGGTTATTGATTATAACTTTCAATATATACTATTGATATTTAATTAATTGTTAATAATGCTTTGTTTGGATAAGAAAAGTTATTTTAATAAATGAAATTATAAGATGACTAAATTATCTTTATGGTAAAAATTATTATTATTATTATTATTATTATTATTATTGTCTTAATATTATTGATTTATGTATTATATTTTATTATTAAATTATATTGTTGTTAATATTAAGTGTTATTATTATCATATAAATGTATTTATATTATATTATTATTATTATTACTATTGAAAACATATGTGTGTATGTTTAACTTTTTTTTATAATAATAAAAGATAATAAAATTATTATTATAATTATTGTTGTAAATAATGTATATTTATTGTGTATATTTGTACATATAAAAGGTAAAATTGGAAAACAAAAATGTAAAAAAAATGAATCCTCTTTATATATAAATGTAAAAAGAAATTATTGTGTATGAAAAAAAAATACACAGTTTACAATTTTTATGGTAATAAAAAATAATAAAATTATTATTATTATAACATCACTTTCCAGGATTAATTAATTATTTAAAAAATGTGATTTTTAAATTTCATAAAAATAATGAAAATCATGAAAAATAACAAATAATCTAATTATAATTATAATAATTTTCAAAACTTTATAAATTAAAGTACAAGATATATTTTGAAAATTCTTTTTAAGATTTGTTCAGATGTCTCTTTGTTTTAAACTGAATTAGCATCATCTCTAATATCATTTGTTCATGTATAATAACACAACACGAATCATACGATCATAGCACAAATACAAACATGTAAATGTGAACTAACCAGAAAACAATGAGATAATAAGTAATTATTGCACTCACCTACGCTACTCAAATCATTCATTCAAATCCATGAAATCACATCACATTCATGAAACACCATAACACATCACCATCAAGAGATACTAAACAACCTCACACGAAACCACATCACCTCAAAGTGATACCAAACAATATGTCATCCACCCATCGTAACACCGTCTTCTTACCAAAGGAGCTCAATCTTATTCATTCCATAAGCCTTACAAATAACATTATGCTTAGTTTCCTTTGTTGCTTCCATAAGTCTTACAAGTATACTCTGCTTAAGCATAAAGCCTTACGGTCATCATTTGTTTTCCTTAATTATAAAAGTTTTTATGAGTATCAATTCTGCTTAAACTCAAAGTCTTACAGGCGAAACAACCTCTATTTTTTATGACTTATCAAAGTCTCAGACGAAAAGGAACAGAATGTGACTCTAAAAGTTAGGAGACGGACGAGATAACACAAAAAAAAGTTATAAAAGTTCATTATTTTTATGATACAAAAATAAAATTATTTTTATCTTAATTGATTCTAATAAGTCATTAAATAATATATTTGATCATTATAACTTTTATTTATTGTATATATATTTGTGTATGTAAATAGTAAAATTGAAAAACAAAAATATTGAGAAAAAAAATTGCCTTTATTTTTGTATATTGATATAGATATATTTACATTATTATTATATTATTATTAACTTATATGATTAACAGTATTAATTTTGATATTATTATCATATAAATGTATTTATATTATTATATTATTTTTACTAGTGAAAACATACTGTATGTGTTCACCTCTTTATGATAATAAAAATAATAAATTATGCTAAACTTTATAGATATTTGGAAGATTGTGCAAAAGGGCTATAATGTGCCATATATATTATCTTAAAGAAAAAGGATTAACAAGTACTTACTTTCATCCATATGATCACATTTTCGAGAAGATTGTATATGCTACTACATCAAAGGAAGTTGAGAAGATTGACAAGTATCTATTTTACTTGATTTTATACGTGATTTTGACACTTAGATTGAATGACATTGAGTTAATCTTAAGTAAATCAACCATTTTTTACTTAAAAATGACAAAATGAAGTATCGAGAATCAACCCTGTGGAATGTATTTTATGTGAATTGCAACATTTTTTTGAAAGAATTGAAAAATTACAGCTTTAGAATTGTACATGAGTGGTGAAAGACACTTATATCAGAATTCAAATTTGAATTTCACAACTAAGGATCGAAAAATCATGTTGATGCTTAAACCACGAGAATAAAACTTCAAAATAAAAAAACCTTGAACACCACATTCGGGAGCTGAATCATGCAGGAAACTCACTTTAGGAATAAACTTTTAAAATTTACCATCTTGTAACCTCTCATAATCTCATATTTGATAATTCATACTTTATATATATATAAAATTTAAACTCAGATTTCAACTACAAACTCATAAGTATAACTCGAATTCTTCTAATTTATTATTCTATCTCTTTTTTTATTGGCACTGAATCAGACGACATTCCTTCATCTGCTCTCGTATAACGAATTATACGATCATCGCACATACACAAATACAAACAAGTAGGGTGAGCTAACATGCACCAAATCATTTATAAAATATGCATAATTACTTTGATACACTCAACAAACATCATATAATAATTATGTCAGACACTCTCATACCATCATACAACAATCGCACCATAGATATTCATCCCATCATACCACAATTTCTAATAGACACTCATCCCACAATACCCCATAAACACTCATCCCACAATACTCAATAGACACTCATTCCACAATACCCAATAGACACTCATCCCACAATACCCAATAGACACTCATTCGGATGATACGTTGATGAGCGGTCACGGGAGGTTATGCACTTGTGATGACTTCTACTTCTTCTTACAAATACACTTCCAAAATACTCCATACCATCCACAAGGTTAGTCCTCAACACTGTCCAAAACCGGCACATAGATCAGGACCTCCTACCCCTCTCACCACATAATTCATCCTTCTCTACTTGAGACTAGATGTTTATTAGAGTATCAGGATAACCTCCAACAATAGGACCCTCAACATCAACATATACACTAATACCATATCATTACAAAATCTCTCCAGGAGACTCATGTTCAACTCATACCATGCTCAAATTCATAATTTCATATCTACCACAATAACATGAATTCATCAGAAATTTTCATTCCAACAAGATATATTGCACAATAATTTAACAGTACATAATCTGTTCAATAAGATTTAAGTTAAAAACTTGTCGAGTAGACTTCCAGGAAAGAGAGGTGCGTCACAATGGACAACTTAAGTACCAAGTCTTTCCTTAGCTAAAGTGTTCCTCAACTAGTTTTAACAAATTTCTTATTTACATATTCACAATAACAACATATAATATTAACATAGAAATTCAATATAGATAGATATATAACAAGCACATATGTTTTTCATTAACAGTATTCACACAAAATTTCAAAACATGAATAGTAATAAAACAATACTAAATCATAATATAAGAGCTTAGAAAGGTTAGCTCCCCTACCTCTATTCCAGACTTAATCTCTTGCTCAGAATTTGTTTCCCCGAAAACCCTCAAGAAACTTTACTCTTCTTGCAACTAAAAATTTCTTTCTAACTCTTTCTTCTCTATTTCTCAAGATTTCTTACTTGATTCTTCCTCTCTTTGTGCAGAATAATCTCCCCTCTCATGACTATTTATAGTCCAAAAAGTTTACTATTTAACAATTTTTTAATATTATTTATTATTTTAATCACCACTTGACATATCTGATCCCTCAATAATGACTTCAAACGTGGAGTGTTTATCCACTATCACTATTTTAATTTTTTTTAAACAAAAAGGTAGAAAAGAGTTTGAACTCATGTTCTTGAAATCACCACAATTTTCTACCATTTAAGCTACCAAAATTTCTTATTTACCTTTCCACATTTTATTTTTACATAAACTTATTAATTATATTTTCCATTCACAAAGAAATTTATTACTACTAATAATAAAATTGTTACTATTAAGGTAAATATTTTTCATGAGTCTTACACAAAAGGAGTATAAGCAAGAAGGAAATTCATCATGGATAGAAACTCTAAATACTAATAACCATTATTGAAGCTCAAATCAAGCCTTAAAATATATAAAAAAGAATAATGTTTTATTATTTGCGTCCAAATTTTATCTTCTTTCTAGAATTTCT